TTAATAAAATCAAAGATTCAAAATACTATTACTCCGTAGTACGTAATATTTACGTGGAACATATCACATATGACTAAGCTACTTAATTGGTATAATAATCATTATCATTATAAAAATAATATCCCTTGTCCCAACATAAGTGTCACCTTTCTCTTATTGGAAAGAAATATGTGATTCATAATATTTTACTTTATTATATTCAAATAGCAACCACAACTTTTACCTTTTTAACAACTTTATTAAAAATTGTGCCAAAATCAAATGAGACACATAAAATGGGACGGATGTAGTATGGAGTATCAATTACTAAGGTCACTGGTTTTTTTTTATCATGCGGGCCGGAATACATCACTATGCCTGTAACACCATCCCCGAGTATATTTACTTTTTAGTAAATCATGTAATAAACCTTGAATAATGACTTATGAATTTACGAGGTTGAAAATTTTTGTTATTACCTTTGCGTGAATAGTGAATTGCACGTGGGGCCCACACCGGGAGCGGGGACCCCCCGATAATTCCGGGACCACATATTATATTCATATTGGTCTAAATAATACTACCTCCGTCCCATTTATATTTTCCCGGAAGAGAATGGCACGGTTATTAAGAAAAGTGGGTTTGTGTGGTTGATATTAATTGATAAAGTAAGAATGATTTAGAGTTGCAATGCTTTTTTAATAAATTGGAAAGTGTTCCCCGGTGCTTTCCCCACTTCTCGTGGTACTTCTGGGAAAAAAAAGTAAGAATGATTTAGAGTCACACAAACTTTGCCAAATATGGTATGTGACATTTTAAGTGGGACTTCCCGAAAAGGTAAAATGAGACAATATAAATGGGACGGAGGGGGTATTTTCATGATGGTATATATTTTGGTTGGGTCATATAAAGGGCATCGAGTTGACCAATTGGTCAGATAAGGCCCAATTATCAGAATCGGTAATTGATTGGATAACAGTCCGAAATGGACTTCATAGACTTATAAATTAAAGTTTTGGAATATATATTATTTCAAGGGGGCCATCATGATTGAGAGTATGTAATATATTTTATTTGACCCGATAAAATAAATTATATTTAAAACAGTCCGAAAAATACAACTTTCGGGACCGAATATACATTTCTAGACAAAAAGGGTTGACCTCCCACATGGGTGGGGGCCAACCCACGAATTTGGTCATCCAAACAAAGGGTTTGGACGGTTAGAGTAAAGAGGGGAACATGGGAGGGGATGGTGATTTGATCAATTTGGCATCAAACAAAAATGAGGTGGCCCCATCCACGCTCATTTGTTCAATGAGACAAAGAGGTAATCCTCACCTCCCTCTCCCTCATCTTTTCTGCCAAGCTACACCCAGGAAGAACAAAAAAACCATCCAGCTCCTTTTTCCCCATTGTTGAAGGAGAGCTCAAGAAGGAAGAATCTCAAGAAAAGGGATTAAGGTGCTAAAAGTATAAGGAATTTAGGTAATACCTGTATCTTAGCCTTTCCCTTATTTTTCTTCTATCATATGAGATATATATCATGTGAAGAACACTTAAAATCATTCTACACATTTAGAAATGTAGAATGAGGGGTTGAAAAGTGGTTCTAAGTCCAAGAATGACCGGTTCGCTGGAAAATAACCTTTTAGAGGTTATTTGTATTGATATGAGTTTTGTGATGATGAAACTATGTTAGGAGCATAACTAAAGTGTTTCTAGAGTTCGCCGGAGTTTCGCCGGAGTCTTGCCGGAGTTTCACCGGAGTTCAACCGAGGAGCGTAGAACGCGCTTAAGTTCATTTAAGGTGAGTGGATGGCTCTTATAACTTTTGGGTTAATTATAAGATTACCTAAATAAATGTTATATGTATTCATAATGCTGTTTAAAAGATATTTAAATATGTGTTTAGCCAAAATGATTAGGCATGTATGAAATGAAGTACATAAATATGCATGGAATATTATATGAGAATTTGTATGAAATTGCATGCTATGTATGAAAGGTAAAGGAAGCATAGAGTGAATATTATTAACTTAATATATATGATGATTAAGTTGATATATATAAGGCTTGAAATGACGGTTAACGCTAATTATTTATACCGGTTGGTATTAGTTAATTATAAATTTAGTTCTAGTTATTTTTGGCAATAGTTTAATGACTAGACCTCTAGATTAATGCTAACCATAAACCTAAAAGAAACTTACCATTTTGTAATTAATATTTTATGAAAGCTTTTACTGAAATAATATTTGGAATTATAGAATCAAAATCTACGTAATTAAACTACCATTTTTCAAAACATAAAGATGGTAAGTATTATAGAGCTCTTGAATGAAATGAGCATTGTTAGAAGTGTATGCATATTAAGGTTACCAGATGTGCATATTAGTGTTTCAGGAGGTGCATATTAAGGTTACGTGATGTGCATTGTACATTTATAATGTCTCCATAATTTATATTAGAATTGCATCGTGATAAAATATGTTAACGTTGCATTTTAGTCGTTTGTATGTTGCATGTTATCTTTATAACATGTGCATTTTACAAGTTCCTATATTGCGTTTTCAAATATGTACACTTTAGAAGTTCATACTACATGTTAGTGCTATGGCATATGCATTTTAGTATAGAGTGCATAAGTTGCATTTTATCATTATGATATGTGCATTTTAGAAGTTCATACACTGCATTTTGGTAAGATGACATGTGCATTGTCGAAGTTCATACACTGCATTTTAGTAAGATGACATGTGCATTGTAGTAGTTCATATGCTGCATCTTATCGTTATGACATCTACATTGTATAGTCAACTGACATGCATACGTGATTCGTGATGTCCCAAGATACATAATATATAAGAAACATTTTTTAAATAGTAAAAAAATTGCACATTAAAATTACAATATTTTTTAGATACTAAAATTACAAGAGCTGCTCATTAACACAATTCACATATTGTGCTTTTACATCATATGTTAACTGCACATATGTGCTTTTTAGGAGTTCATATTTTGCATCTTATCATTATGCCATCTGCATTATACTAGTATACTCAATTCACATGCATACGTAATTCATGAGAACACAAATGCTAAATATATAAGAAATTTATTCTAAATGCTAAAGAAATACAACACTTTTGTTACTAAATTTACAAGAACTTTGTATGAACACAAAATTGATGGATTTCATAAAAGAAAAAATAATGTTTTTCTGGCGTTCATAATATAGTTCCGGCATTCGAGAACTAATGGTCTGATCTCTGGCGTCTCCTTATACGTGCCGTAACTCAGGACATTCGAATAGAAGAACACTTGAGTAGAAGAACACCAATCTGATTCTATTAAAATTTGAGATTGAGGAGGAGATGGAGATGGAGAAGAGATAGAAATGGTTAAGCTTTGATCCTAAAGATATGGCTGAATGAACGTGCAAGAGAGAAATAATTGAACGTAATCAGACATGATTTTATTTCTAAAAATAAAATATACCTAAAAGACTAATAAGCCCTTAATTGTCTAATATAATCAAGATGAAAGCTACAGTTCTATCAACTAAAATAGAGGGCTGAGATCTATTTGCATTTTGTAAATTAAGAAGACTTTGTATATGATCCCAATTATATATATATATATATATATATATATATATATATATATATATATATATATATATATATATATAACATCATGTGAGAAGTCCCCCTTAGGCTGAGAAGCTGCGAAGTCTAACTTATAAGCTCAAAACACGAACTTTTAACCAATAAATCATAACTTATAGACCCCCTCCAAAAAAATTACGAAAATGCCACCGCGTCAAAATAACTCCAGAAACCTGGAATTTTTTTTGCAGAAAGTTCGTGTTTTTGAGGGGGTCTATAAGTTCTGATTTTTTGGTTAAAAGTTCGTGTTTTTTGCTTATAAGTTAGACTTCGCAGCTTCTCAGCCTAAGGGTACTTCTCAGCTGATCCGCTCCCTATATATATATATATTGGTGGAGTACCCAAGGATTATGTTATCCTCAAAACTCATAGTTTATGATATTGAAATAAGGATAAGGAGGAGTCCTATACACTCATAAGTACATGGGTGGGTTGGGGTTTTTAGTCAAGAATATTGACTATTACTATTTTCCCCAAATAAAACAGCGATCTACGAATCGGGTATTTTCCAAGTGTATATATACTATTAAGTATTTCTTAACTTGGGGGAAAAGACTATTTACATAAGTATCACCCTATGTTTGGGTCTTATACTTGAAACGCTAGTTATTCTATATTTAGCATGCTACTTGCTTGGTACTTGTACTGACCCCTTCGGGGGCCCACCATTTTCAAGTTGAAGCTAGAGCTTGCTACCTGCACCTTTCTACGGGTGATATCTATTTCAGGGAAGACGTGGTTCGTGTTTCCTCATGTTCTTTCAAATTACTAGACATTGCTCATGGATATTTTTATTTGTTTCAAACTACTCTTGGGCTTGCATGCCCGTGTTATTGGCCGGATGTGGCCTATGAATTACCGCTGAATATTTCCGCTATTCAATGGTTTAATTTGTGATGTTGTTATGCATGTTTACTACTGAGTATGGATGGATTGTTTTCTCGAACGCCTTGTATGATTAAGTGAGGTTGACCTGCGGGTAACGTCACTCGATTATACAACGGTTGTACACGTGCTTAGATTGCGGTCTGGGGTGTGATCATTAATTGGTATCAGAGCCATCTCAGTTCTAAACTATGTAATCAACCTCTCACAAGAGATTTTACCAAAAAGGAATTTTTACAGAAAACCATGAGCATTGTATTTCGACGTTCATAGAGCTATTGTTACCTAGGTTGCAAGGTCTCTAGTTGTTAAGATGGTACCCTTAACAATTGGTATGGCGGTGACTTGGGCTAATATGTGTCGTATAATGTTCTTCCGTCAATTGACATTGATAGGACTAATGACTCGTCCAAATCTCTTTTCAGAAATGGAGGGTAGGCGAATGGCAACCAGGAACAATCCGAGGGGGCAAGTGCCGGTAGTATCCATGAGAGATAGCCGGGCTGCATCTCGGGGTTCAAGAGGAGGCTGTGGAGGCCAAGGGAGCCGTGGAGATCATTGGGCTCAAACTGTGAGTGACGGCCACGTTAGTTCGGTGTATGAAACCAACACCGAAGACTATGACTCTACATACGTTCCTGAAACGGAGCATGAGGAGACCCCATATGATGGGGGTGACACGTGCACCGACGATGATGACGAAGAAAGTGATGCCAAGTTCGCCCAAATGGGCGAATTGCTTGAGTGGTATCAAAAAGAGAAACTCAGGAGAGACCTTAGGCGTCAAGCAAGGCGTGGCTCTCATGGTGGTTCGGGTCAAGGTAGCCGGGGAGCTTCAAGGGCCACTCTAGCGGCATCACAAGGTGGGTGTGAAGGAGGGTTTTGTGTGAGGATATCCAAATACCTCAAGGAGGCTAGGGCCTTGGGGTGTAAATCCTTCGACGGCACCGGTGACATTACTGTCGCCGCCGATTGGATAAAGAAGGTGAAGGATGCGGCAAAAGACATGCAAATTACACCGGAAGTGAAGTTGACCGTCGCTTCACGTCTGCTTGAAGGGATAGCTTCCACGTGGTGGGAGAGTGTAGAAGGGAAATACCACGGGGAGGTCTCATGGTTAAATTTTGATCAAGAATTCTATGACCAATACTACACTGACTATGAGAAAAATGTCAAGCGTAGGGAGTACACCAACCTTGATAGTCCCCGTTTCTGTAACAGCAATGAATAACAGTCTAACAAAGAAGATTAAACGTAAAGATGAACACTGATGAATCGATGTAAAACCCTCTTTGATAGACCCTGAACTCGTACACAGAAAGATTTGCGCTTAAGGCTATAATGAACAAGTACGAAAGTTAACCTAATCTTGAACCCTCGGCTCCCTTTTTATAGGCGAGGTTCAGGTAGGCGTGAAAGGCTTTTAGCCTGTTTGTATGGGCCTAACACTTGGCCCATATTCTATCTAATCAATGCACCTATTTAATACAAGGAATAATAATAAAGCTAATCTATTACAAAATAGATGACAAACTTGATTCACAATTAACTGATCTTCAACAATCTCCCCCTTTGTGATCAAGTGCCACTTAGTTATTGCTTCTGTGATTTGAAATAGTGCTTCCTCATATTCATTGCATGCTCGTATTGCCTTAACATGTTTCTCTTTTCTAAGCGATCATCGATGGCTTTTAAAATGGTCTCCACTGTAGAGTGTTCCTTTTGAACGTATGACGATGCCTCCTGAAGATTTTGCTCTAGCTGTGCCTTCATCTTTAGAAGCTGTTCTTTGATTATCTTCAGCGTTCCATCACAATATTTCTCAATTTCATTAACCACCATTAGACGTTTTTCGTTCTTGTGGTTGAGATATGTGACTGCTGGTGGTGTGAAGAAGATGTGGTAAGCTGGGAAATCTTCGAGTTCTGGACCATACAGTCTTGGCTTTGTAAGATTTGTTTTTGTCAAGTTGCACTCAATAGCCATCTGTAGGTCGTGAGATGAGTGCACTCTGATTTGCCTGAGCATGAATCTCTTGATTGCTGCAAGACCTTCGTTGTATGTTTTGCTTTGCCTGACTGGAAGGTATCGATAAGCCATAAACATTTGATAGATGTCGTCTGGTTTAAGCATGATGAAATCATTTTCTTGGCAAGTAAATTCACTCCCGTCAGTGCGTTGAAGCCTGTAAGAATAAAATGTCACTCCGTGATAATCCTCGGCCTTAACCTGCAGGATTTGATGAATAGGGAGATTATTGGACTTCAAGTCTTGTTCCATCAGCTCTCTTTGAGTACTGGTTGACCTTTGCAACAACATGTGTAGATGACCTCCAGCCTGCTTTCCTTTGAGATGGGTAAGGCCTCGTAGCTTCAGTTCATTCAACGGTTTGACTTTGTCTGGTCTACGCCAAATACGCTCTCTAATTTCCTCTTGGAAGGGGCTTTGATTCGAACGTTGTCCCAAGGTTTCTCTGTCTTGGGAAGTCTTCCCGCTGATTGTCTGACGACAGATTCAAGTGTTTTCTGAGATTCCTTGTAGTTCTCCCCTTCCTTTCGTTCATCGTCCTCGAGCCTTATTATATCTTCAGCACATTTGTTGATGAGTTCTCGTAGAAACCAATTCCTCTGCATATCTTCACACTCTTCATCCTGCATGATTTGATCCATCTCCGTCCACTGTCTGGGCCATTTGTCGTGAATAATGATATCTTCTAGTTGATCATGCATTTCATCTGACGACAGAATGGTAGTGGCAGGTTGACCTTTTGGAGACGGAGGCCTGTTAATCGAAACACCGGGTTCACTAGGATTTCCCGTTGTCATCAGCTTTGAACTAGGTTCTAACTGATGGCCTGATGTAAAAGATGTACCTGTGGTAGCATCATCAGGACTTCCATCCCCTCCTCGGTTGGTATCTCTGGGAGATACGCCTCGGGATGTTGCGTCTAGCTCGACCAGGCTAGAGATTTTGGCTGCGGGTGGTGGCTATTGGTTGGTAGAGGTTTCTGGTTGAATGGGCTGTGGAGGTTGGCTAGATAAAGCAGTTTGCTCAAGTGGTCGTGGCCGCTTGTTCTCCCCCTCATGAGGATCCGAATCATCGGGGTCCTCATGGGAACGTTTGCGACCACGAGGACTCTCCTTGCATTTGATTTTGGTTTCAGGGGAAGAAAGGAGGACTTCGAGAATGGCTTGCTGGTGGAGGGTAAGTTTGGTTTCTAGGATGTTTAGAAGATTGTCCAGCAAAGCCGATGCCAGGGTTTCGAAGGGTAGTGAGGAGAGATCGATGGAGGGTGTGGTCGGGCGTGGGGAGAATACAAGTTCTGTATCCTGGGTTCCCCGAGAATGTGAAGGAACGGGTATTTGGTTGATGGATTTGTGAGATAGAGGGGTGGAGGATACTGGTTGTGTATGGGAGATGAAGGGTTCGGGAGAAGGTTGGGGTGGGGGTTGTTCAGAATGAACCGCTTGGGTGGTCCTAAATTCCTGTGCTAGAGCGGTCATTGCATCTTGCACCCATGGTTTGATGGTGGAATCTAGGAAGCGATTGAGCAGAACGTTGGTGTCTTCAAAGGTTGGGTGTCCAGTTACGGGGGTTGTAACTGTTGTCACAGCATCAGTGAAGATAGCTGATGTGTGGCCTGCGTGCAATGATGGAATCATTGAAGGCGTAGCAGGGCTTCCAACCGTCATAGCTTGCGCTCTGGTTGTTTCTTTCAGGGTGTGTGCACCTGTATGTGCTGTGAATAGTGTAGGTGTCCTAGTAAAAGAAGAAAATGTAGGAAAAGTGACACCTAGACTCGATGTGTTTGAAGAAGGGGTTTTGACCTCGGGCGATAGGTCAATAGTACGCTCAACTGATTCAGAAGGAACCAGTGAGGGGGTTGAGTCCCGTGCTTTTGAAACGATAGCATGTTGAGAGGCTATCGAGTGGCTAGGTGAGGGCTGTGCTTGCGCAGTTGAGCCAGATGCTGCGACTTCTACCCGGGAACCGAAAAGATCGGCTCCTGTACTTAGGGATTCGGCTCGGCTTATCTGGATAAATGGATCGCAGCCGGCGAGTATGTGCTCGTCCGCCTTATCTATGAGGCTCTTTCTGACGCGAGGCTGGGGCTTTGACTTAGCAGCTTTGTCATTTTTAATCTTAGCCCTTTTCTCCCGGATGACGACATCTTTGGAATTCTTGATAGTATGGGCTGCTTCATCGTAGTCATCCTTGGAGTAGTTTGTTTCTCTGGGATCGGTTTTTGGTTTAGTCAGCTCTTTGATAGTGAAGACTTGGGGTCTGCCTGCGATTATTGGTGCTGCGTCTTCAGCAGTGATCTTCTTTGGAGATTCGACAGGCAGCTTTCCTTTTCGGATTAGAGCATAGGTGTGCTCAACGTCTTCACTGTCATCATCATCATCATCATCAGATCCAGACTCCTCGCTATCCGTACCCACGCTCTCTGATGCCTCATCGTCAGTGTTTGGTTGGGCATCACTTGACGACTCATCGGCAGATTCCTCAGCGTCTGTTTCAGTGCCCTCAGCCGTCTGACTCGTCTCGAGAGAGTCGTCAGACTTTCCTTCATGGGGCGAACCGGCCACTGGTTTCTATGGCTTTTGGACTTTCTTAGGACCCTTACCTACACTCGGCTTTGTCCCCGGGGTAGGTCCAGCTGGGTTTTGCTGAACCATAGGGACAGTTCTCTCAATTTTTTCTTGGTACTGTTGAACTGTCGGATTTGATGATTTGACTAGTTTGAGCAGAAACCCAGGGATCCGCAGACCGAAGACAGGGTTTTTGTCAGCTTTGAAGTACTGCAGCTTCGGGGCAGTGTAGTGTGGATCAGTACTGCGTCTTGGGATGGAAGAGTGCTCTGCCATGCAGTCGTTGATAATCAGCCCGAGCCACCCTGCGTATGGGATGGTACCTGGCCTGTTTTTCTCTTTCGCTTTGACCAGGTCCATGAGCTCTAAGAAGAAGGGCTGTGCCATGTCGTATTTTTGTTGAATGCGATGCTGTGAAAGATTAGCAGGATCTGCTTGTTGCAACCCGGCATGCTTTGGCGATAGGCACTTGTTCACCAGCCCGAATAGGCTCTTCCACGGATGATGGAGATAGGCTCCGTTAAAGTTTGACAGTTGTGGCAGTAGTGAGGTGTAGCCGGGAGATGCCACGTCTTTGAGCAGATCGGGGATGGATGGCAGCGCATCATACGTGTCGTGAACTGGCAGCGCTAATGTAGATCGTAAGGTTGATGGTGTCAGAATTACGCGCATGCCGTTCAGTTTTGTCTTTATCTTGGAGCGATCCTTTGGTGATTCAGTATGCATGTGACCCCAAAACTGTTGCAGGTATATCTCTGGCACTGGTTTTGCGTTGTGAAGTGCAGGCCAGAGATAATGACCTTTCATTATTGCTGGAATGACTGGGTTCTGGCACTTGAAGACTGTAAGGTCTAGCTGGAAGTTGTTGTCCAGCACCTTGATCCACTTGCCCTTGGGGTAGATGGCGTCGTCGATCTGTGTTTGAGTTGTTCCTGCCATTATGAACTGTAAAAGCAGGGGATCAGCATATGAAATTCATTGGTTTGATTTCTCTGAGGTTAGATTGAAAGAGTTTTGGTTTGAAGGTTTCAGACAATTTATGCAGGTGGAATTTTTGAAAAAAATTTTAAGTCCAAATCTCCAGATCAAGATTTCGAGATGCAAATCTCGAGATCAAGATTTCGAGATCCAAATCTCGAGATCAAGATTTCGAGATTCAAATCTCGAGATCTTGATTTCGAGATTCAAATCTCGAGATCAAGATGTCGAGATTCAAATCTCGAGATCAAGATTTCGAGATTCAAATCTTGAGATCTTGATTTCGAGATTCAAATCTCGAGATCTCCCTCGAAGATGAATCGACGAACTCGAGATCTGGAGAATTTGAATGTCGAGATCATGTATCTCGAAATGACGATTTCCACCTGCAAAAACATAAGCAATAGAACAAAAAACGATATACAATGTGATTTCGACCTTGAAATTAAACTAAAACCCTTTTTCTTTTTGATTTTGAGAAATTTTGAACGTTTTTGCGAGAACGATATTTCGATTTCGAACGATTTTGATGGATTGCGATTGCGAATAGTGAACTACCTTCGTAAGGGTAGTCGAGAAGAAGAAATGGGAGTAGAAAAAGCTAATGAATTTTTGGGGAAGACGAGGGAGTTCGGGAGCTCTGGTTCCGTGCCTTGTTTGCGAAAAAGTGAGAATGGGAAGGGAAGGGTTTGCGAATGGTTTATATACCCGAGAAATTTTGGACCTTTTCCTTAACAGTTGAGCCCGAAAGTATGGGCT